CATATGCCGATCAGTGGTCATAACAGTTCAAGTACAAATCAACTAGCGTCATGATTGAATCAACCTGCGTAGTAATTATAAATAAATATTTCAGATTGCATAGTATATGCAATATTTTGTGTATTTGATGAATTGTCAAACCATCTCAGATTTTACTCTAGGATAAAGATGTTGCACTTTCCATATGTGATAAATGCATGCAACATGTGCCGTAAATCTGGGTTGGTATATTTGCTCTGCTTTTTTCATCACAAAGCAACTGTAATATATGCATATAGTAAACTCAATAGGGTTTAGAGAAAATCACAGAAACTAGTCAAATTATCAGTACATAGGTCATGGATGAAACCGTACTGTTTTGAATAAATCTCAAATATCCTTGGCCCTTTTGTTCCTCAGACTTTTACCTAAAACTGCACAGTTTACGTTTATCAACAACCTGTATCTTTTCAGTTAACTCTTAGAAAATGCTTACACTCACCAAAAAAGATCTATGCTGTATCTTTAAAAAAACAAAACAAAAAATGTGAAAGTCCCTTGAATTGACACTTGGCACAACTGACTAGTTATTGAATCTGTATGTGAATTGGACAATAGGTGCAAGTAGAATACGAGACAAGACTTGTTTTAGTTGTTTGGCAGGGTGGATTTTTTTGAATGCAGAGGGAGGGGAGGTGCGAGTGTAAAGAATATTTCTATGTTAATCCCCTGTTGCAATGCATCATGCAACAGTATATTATGGTTTATTGCCCCACCCCTTCCCCAAATGCAAAGATTTATTACTGATTAAATGGCTCTGAAGAGAATAGTTTTATTAATACAACCGGAGTCTGCTGCTGTTGCGTTGAATTCATGCATGTAGTGAATACAAACAAAAGATCATCTGTGCAGTACCATAGAGGGCGTACTACAATTATCTTATCTTATCATATATGAATATTTTGATCGGGCGATTTGAGTATATTTTAATGGATAGCCTCTGAATCGATAATCGGAATAACATGTTCTAAGTGTCATTGGGGAAAACGCGTCCTAAAAAAAACTCTAAATTCATCAACATAAGAATGCACTTTATGACACCAGACAACCTGAGGGCAATACAATGGTACATCCTACATTTTGGCAACACTGTTCTAATGAATTGTTTTTAGTTTTCCGCAAATGTATCTGTGAAAGATCTATTACTGCTCTGCAACTACAACTTAAGTTAAATTTAATTATTTGTTGCTGAATGTTGGTACGATTTCGGATTTATGACAATGTACGTGATTATTTCAGAGTATGGTGCACGATAAGCCTCGTATTCCTAGTGGGCAATGTTGGCAAGAAGTTCAGTGGTGGCGGCAGAGGGGCGGTTGCCCTTCCAAAATCAAGCTAAAACCCTTTGTGTCACAAAATTTGACCCTTAAAATGAAGGAAATAGCATTTCAGGGGGTCTAGATTTCAGATCTCGTCCCTTATGCAAAAGTGCCGCCGCTTTTGAAGTTGTCTGTATTGTGTCCTATGTAAATCTTGTAACAAATAATCCACGAGCAAAACGTTTTTTCTGGTACCTAGTGGCAATTCTACCAATGAATTTCTTCAACCATGGACGCACTGACATACGTCCATGCTTAGTACGTAGTAGTTTTGTACACCAAAAATATGTATAATAGCAAGGTCGTAGAAGCAGCTACATAGCGAATGCATAGTTGAGAATGGGTAAAAATATAATTTAGATTCCATTTGTTATCAAATATAAACCACATTGAGGTGTTGTCACAAATCTGCCACCGTAACACCGAAAATGTTGGGTATTCCCCATTTTGTACTGTGCCAATATAACACACATTTATCAATTTATATTTCGTCGCTAATTTGACGTGATTAATATATATTAATATATTTTCTGACATAATTTTGACTTTAAATTGCATTTCCAATTTGTAAGGCCTGTACACCCCCTAACCAATATTATAAATCATAAAATGTTACAATTGCAGATAAGTAATGGCAGCGGATCATGAATTTAAGCGGTTCCCCTAAAGTTAGATTTGTAGACCATATACAGTTAAGAGAATATATTTGTCTTTTTATTTTTTTTCCAAATTTTGAGCATGCAGAATTAAAAGAAAATGGTGTGTTTATGTAACTCATTGTGTTTTTGCCTTTGTACCCACACACTGTCAACGGAAATGGATCATCTGCACATGCGTGTACCAATTTTATCAAAGGCGATCCGTCTGATGGCACACTTCGCGCATGTGCAGATAACCTGTTTTGTTTGCCGGGCTTTATACTACTCCGAACGTCGCTGATTTTACCGTTGGGTTTTGGCAATTTGATCGG